GGTGGGACAGTAGTGGGCAGAAGGCTGAGACAATACAATAAACTCCTGGACACAGTAAACTATTAACCTCTGTAGCATGGCATGTTACAGCAGGCCCACCATGTTGACACTGATAAAACCACAGAAGCAGAATGCTGTCATGAAACAAGAAATTGTTACCAAGTAAAAGCCTACATAAGCCCTCTAGCCTCACTTTCTCTTAGCCAACTTATAACAATAATTTTGGTGGTCACTCAGGCAATACATTAATAGCTTCCTGCTAGCTTTGCTGTAGTTAACACCTCTGACGTGGGGGTTGTGAAAACAATTGCCTGGGTTACTTCCCAGGGATATGAGGGCTGCTTTTGCAGAAAACATTGACTCTTCACTAGAGATTGCAGAAATGTGAGTGGGGACTAAATAAGGAATACAACGCTTGGCATCTCTGTGTCTGTTTAGTCCAAGGCTGTATGTAACACAGGGTTAACCTTCCATGTTGCTATTTGGAGCTGGTGTGCATTTCCTTTTCTCTGCCCCAAACCTTGTGCTTCCTCAGAAGCCACTAAGGCTCAAGCACTTGAAGACCTTCATCCCTATGACAGGGCCCAGACCCACCTGGCTGAGATGTTTGGCACATCATGATGGTGCCAGATACATGAAAACTCAACATCCTCTAGGCTGACCATGTGGTAGTCCGAGTTCATCATAAGAAACATCTTTTAGAACCATGCCTGTGGACAGTGGGAATTACTGGATTTTAGCCCACCCTACCAAATTAATAAAAAACGTGCTCTCTTTGCTCTGTGAGCATCAGCTTGGTCATTCTCTTGGTCAACTGCTGACCCCTTTTAGCTAAAGCCCCAAATCAGCTTAAGCCTCCCCCACTACCACGACCCTCTATTAAAGCTTTGTTTATGTAGGAGAGACAGAGAGAGAGAGAGAGAGAGAGAGAGAGAGAGAGAGAGAGAGTGTGTGTGTGTGTGTGTGTGTGTGTGTGTGTGTGTGCGCTGGCAATATCTCAGTCTCATTTCTACTGTCTCTGGGCCAAAAGATCTTGTCTGATATTATAAGCAGCATAGTGCAGAGAGATCCTCTGTATAGGTGGAGAATGAATGGAGGATACAACTTGGCTATGGATCCCAGCACCAACCTCATAACAATGAAGCTCAAAGCCAGGCAGGCCCTGTAGCATCATAGTCAAGAACCCAGTCTCCAGGCCTGCCCTACCACCAAGCCAAAAGCCTCACACATGCTCCAAACCATCCCGGGTTCCAGACATGTGTGTCAGGCTGCCGTTGTAGCCATGGACTCCAAGTCTATACAATGCCACACCAGACCTCACAGCCCCAGGCTATAGGCCAACCCTGGTGCTAGGCCACCCTCTGTGGCCTCAGACATCAGGCCAGCCCAGGTACCAGACCAGCCCTTGCAACCTGACTCCAGACTAGCCCAGGTCAGTCTGCTACCAGCAGACCTAGGCTCTAGGTTGGCGGCCACAAATACCAGTCCTTCTTCCCCGGGATCCAGGCCACCCCCCATGGTCCCATGTACCACAGGAATAAGGGTCCAGGTCACTCTAATAAAGGCAAGGACAAGGCAAGCCCTGAAGGTGTCTGATGCCCAGCAGTCTCCAAGGACTCAGGTTCTAAGACTGCCCTGAATACTCAGCCTCCTTGCCTACCCCCAGCTTCAGGCTGGCTCCTGTGGCCCCAGGTCCCATGCTGGCACCCACAACCCCAGGGTTCAGGCCAGGTCCAATGGACCCTAGTCCTCTGGCCACCAGTCAGGTTCAGAGACAGCCCCTGTAGCCAAGGTACCAGGCTGACATCCACAGACTAGCCACCAGACTGGCCTTCAAGGACCAAGGCTTTAGGCCCACTCCTGACCAGGCTACCCCCAAGCTCCAGTGGACCCAACAATCGGAGCTATGTCAGTAATCTCTGGTACCATGCTGGACCCTACAGACCCACACTCCAGGAATGCCCTAGACCTGGCCCTGTAAACTCAAGCTCCAGTCCTGCTCCGGCACCAGCCCAACCCCAACCCCAATGGACTCAGGCTTTAGGCCTGTTCCTGTGGACCCAGGTGATAGGACCAACAAAACCAGCAAAGCTTGGACTGCTTAAATTAACACTGTGCTCTAGTATTTACAAATAGTGCTAATAATAAAGTACTCAGAAAAATCTTTTCTTGATCCAATTTCTAAACGATGAAGTTACTGTTGTGTTTTTATTATATAGCCAAGATTCAAATTAACATATTTTCACTAATAAGCATTGCAGGGTATATAGAGGTAAATTTAGAGAACTGCCAGTTAAGCAAGAGTACCTGACACAAACAAGCTCCAATACATGGGTGCTTTCAAAGAGGTGGTTTAAAATCATTCAAGCTCAGTTTGGGTGAAAGTTCATGTCTCCAATCCTCCAGTACAACGCATCACTAGGTTTAAACTATAGTTGGAAAAGAAACAATGACAGTTCAGTGAATATCTCTACTTTTTGGAGTAGAGATCCACATGCTTGCTTTATTAATTTCCTTGGGCTGGGGCTTTAGCTCAGTGGCGGGCGCCTTCCTGGCAAGCACAAGGTCCTGAGTTCGATTCCTGGTACCAAAAAAAACTTGTTTTATTAATTTCCTTCCCGTCATACTACAAATTCAGTGGCTTAAATCTTAAAAGTGGATGTAGTTTTCGCTTCTGAAAATGCAAAAATTCGTCTGTGCCTTTATCCTGCCTCCAAAAGATGTCATGATGATTAGTAACTGGAATGGTGCCACACACTGAATAAATCATAGGTGTTTACACATCTCCCAAAGAATTCAGAGCAAGTCCTCAAATCTCCAACTTCCCAGCCTCTAACTACAATCCTATCGCTAACTAATAACCTGCCTTCCTCCAGTTTCCACTAGCATATGCCCTTGACAGCAGCATCCTGTCTTTCTACTGACAGTCTACTTGAGGCAGTTTAGTTTTTCTCTATCATGCACCTGAAAATTCTTTCAGCTTCCACCACTGTCTGATTCCAAGGCTAGCTCCCACATTTTAGATATTTGTTACTTGCAGCACTGCACTTCTGGTACCAAAGTTTATCGGTTTGCACTGCTCTTCTAACACATTACCACATAGGGCCAGGGATTTAGCTCAGTGGTTCCCGCACCTGCCTCGAAAGCACAAGGTCCTGAGTTCAATCCCCGGTACCAAAAAACAAAAAAAAGATATTCTTCGGGCCGGGGATTTGGCTCAGTGGTTTCGCCGCCTGCTGCACAAGGGCAAGGACCAAAGTTCGATCCCTGGTACCAGAAAAAAAAAAAAAAAGTAACAAATTACCAAATAATTAGTGGCTTTCAACAACACTCATTTATATTCTAGCCATCTGGGTCAGGAGGTACAACTCTACTGGGTTCTCTGTTCAGGGTCTCACTGGGCTGAAATCAGTGTCAATCTCATCTGAGACAAGGTCCTCTACAAACTCACCGGCTGCCGGCTGAATTTAGTTCCTTACAACTGAGGAGTCAAATCCCATTTTCTTGCTGGCTGCCAGCCAGAGAACAATCTCAGCAACCGGAGGAGCATCCTTGGGTCCTTGTCACATGGCCACCTCCTCCCACAACAGGGCTGCTTATTTCCACAAGGCCAACAAGTGAGTATCTGATTCTGCCACCTGTGTCTTTTAAAGACTCACCTGATTAGGTCAGATCCATCCAGGATCGTCTCCTTTTTCATTAACACAGAATCAAATGTTCTGCAACCTTAATCACAGGAATGAAATCCCTTCATATTCCCAAGGCTTGTACACACTGAACAGGCAGGAATTACACAGGCCATGTAGGTCAAGGGGTGAGAATTTGGGGCTATCTTAAGAAATGTTTATGGCATTAGAGCACCATTATGCCTACTCCTGCCCTTCTGACCTGGGATGCTGCCTGGGATTCCTGGCTTCTTATTGTGTAGCCAAAGTGTTCTGTGTACTTATTCTTCCTTTCCCCAGCTTACATTACCCACTACATGGACAGATGTGTCTTCCTTTATAGCAGTCTTTCAACTGCATGTTTCCTGTTGTTGTAAAACTAGTCAGGAAGACGTCCTTAAGCCTGTCATCCTGCTGGTGTGGAACCTGAAAAAGGCTAGAAAAAGTACGATTTTATGTGGCCAATAAATCTTTGTTCTTCCTCACCCTGAAACAATGTGTATGGATGGACATATTCGTGGATACTTAAAAGTGTTAAGGACCAGAGAAACAACACAGTAAAGGAAGTTCTTAATAACAGTCTGCCTAGTTTGAAGAACTGAACATTCTTCTACCCCTTCAGAAACATACATTTTTATAAAATAAAAATTCTAATGAATGGTTTCAATATTTTTAAGAATTTTCAACAGAGGGTTCATAGAGGAAGCTATTGCTTTGGGCACAAATGTTGCTGCTGGCTGTGGTTCAGCTCTTGCCTAGAATATGACTCATCAGTTACTTTTTTTCCTTAAATTTTTTTATTGGTACATTTTAGGTATACAGTATGTTTACATTTATCATTGGGTGCTTGTAATTGTACATGATGTATCTTGGTTATTTTTTTTCCCCTATTACCTGTGCGCCCTTCACCCCCTCCACCCTTCCTTATTGACACAGACTTCGTTTCCATTTTTGTTCTTTTCTCATAATTTTTCCTTTCCCTTCTTTTTTTTTTTGGTACCGGGGATCGAACTCGGGACCTTGTGTTTGCCGGAACCACTGAGCTAAATCCCCAGCTCTCATCAGTCACTTTTAATTTTGTTTTTCTCCTATGTCCACAGAAAAAACAAAAGCCCCATTTTCCCCTTCTATGCTCTGGTAAATCCTTTCTTGCATGATCACCTTGTGGTTAGACTTATAAGAGTGTTAAGTGTATGTATTAGAAACATTGCACTTTCCTCTAATTCCAGCAGTGAACTCCAGTATGTCTATGGAGACACACAAACGTTCATATACATGTGAAGGTACATCAAGCATGCACGCTGAAAAGTCATTACATAAGCAAACACCCTCCCCTCATATAAAACCAATATTTATTTTTGGAGTCTGACACAATATTCAAAAATGTTGTTACTATATAAATATATACATTTTTATCCATACCATTATAAAACAGGAAACACTATCAGACTGTATTTTACCATGCTATTATTATTTGCTAGCTTTCAGAGAACAACCCAGCTATCAGAAGGGAAAAACTGAAAGAGAGCCAGGTCTTGTTCCTCTACTATGAGCAGGGCTGCCCTCACTAGTTTGACAGGTTCAGACTACTGCTCCCTATAGAGTACTTATCGAGATTTTTTCAGATATAGTAAAGGAAATTAGAGAGCTACAGTCATTCTAAGAGCAACAATCAATTTTTATATGAAGACTTCTAGTCCTAGGATCAGGTACAACTTCAAAGGTTAAGAAAACTTCACTACAACAAACAGTGACAAGAGTTAAGAAACATGCATCAATCGTTTTACATAAAACATGGTGGAGAGATTATAAACCTGAAAAACATCTGAACTGTCTAATAACTTCAAATATGTTTTAGAAGTCACATATACAGATGGTCATAAGAACTAAGAGGAATTTCTTTATAAAACTTCTCATTTGGCCAGCAGTTGAGAGTCAAGAAACAATTCACTAAAATGCCACTAATAGTCTTTAAGTCTGTTCATAGAAGGGAACAACCAGCTCATGATTCTTAGGCTAGGCAGATGTCCTTAGAGAGTCCTTCAACTGACAAAGACATACATTTAACCAAAGGGGTCTGGGCAAGTAGCACCGTGCTACCCATACGCTCATTTGAGTCGCAGCCTCCAGAGTGCTACTCCCTGTCTACCTTACACAGATGCTTCACAGCTTTGGTTGACGTGTCATTTTCTTTCTGTTTTTCTCCTTTGTCAGTTTTCTTTTTCTCCTTCTCTAATGACTCCCTCCTCTTTTTCTCCTCTACTATCTGCTCCTTTCTCTACTTTCTCTTCTTCTCCTCCACTGTCAGCTCCATTCTTTCCTCCAGCCTCTCCTTCAGTGGCTCCTTTCGCTCCTCCTTTGTCCTGAACACTGATATAAACTGCTTTGTTATAGCCTTCTCGGTTCCGAGCAATTTCAATGGCATAAAATTGTATCCTGGGAGCTGGAAGGCAAATAGAATTGATTATGGTCCTAGTCCAGTAATTCGCTAAACCTACTGGAAATCTATAGACAATGCTGAACTAACATGCAAACCATTCAAGTACAGTCGCGTAAGGTTCATAATGTGAATTTGAATCTCATATTAATGACAATGAAAATATCTATCTTACAGTTGCTTAAGAGCAACATCATCTCTAAAGATACAACAAATAAGATGATAGCCAATCTAACTATGCATGTCACTGATTCCTCAGTAAAACCAGATTCTTCACTCACTCTCCCTATATAGAAACAATTCCAGAAGCAAGAAACTCACCAAAGATAGTATTTTCCTCTGTGTAGCCCTGAGAACAATCCAGTCGCAGCAAAGTACCATAGTTAAAGTCTTCTACACTCCCATCAAACTTCAAGCAGAATGGCCTCCACTTCTACAAAGGCAAAAAAAAAAAAAAATGATACCTTAGATGACAAATACAAGAAGCTGATGGTCTCAGGCCAGAAGGTGATCTTGCACTTCCCCAGTGAGAAAAATAACCATCATGGTAGAGACTAGGATTAAGGTGACTGCTAATTTCACCCTGAAACTAGTATCAAGTTTCTGTGCTCTAGACTCTGTCCTTAGACTGCTAATTCCCTCCATGAACAATATTTTAATCTAAAAAAAAGGGGGACCTAAATCCTTTGTAACACATTTACAATGTTATTTCTTAAGCAGATTTTCTGTTTTGTTTCAAAGTTACTGGCCAACTCAGGCAAAAATGGTTGGGTCATCCTCAATAAATCATAAATCAGACAAACACAGGAATTTGGCTCAAACTCATAAAGTGAGATCTTTAAAAAAGGCCATTCAGTAGCAGTAATTTTTCAAAGATTAGTAACAGCTTGGTAAGAGTTAAAATTCAGATTCTTCATTAGGCAAGGGCCCATTCTCAGACAAAAGAATTTTTCCTACCTATTAAGAGTATTAGTGAGCTGGGGATTTAGCTCAGTGGTGCCGCCGCCTGCCTCGCAAGCGCAAGGTCCCGAGTTCAATCCCCAGGACCAAAAACAAACAAACAAAAAAAAAACAAAAAAAGAGTATTAGTGCTCTGTGACATTATAAGATAATTATGTAAGCAATGAGAAACATAAGTTTCCCAGTTATCCATGGCCTATGATCCATCTCATGAACTTAAATCCCGAGAACCAAAATATCTCCTTATATGCTACCTGCCATTCCCCACCTCCAAGCTTCCTGGATAAACTACTATGTAAGTAAACTGATTCCTCCTGCCCTTCTGAAAGGGCACTGCGAGTTGGGATTCAAAGTGTTCAAATCAAAAGGAAAAAAAATAGACTCAATAACATATAAAATCTGTAAACCAGAAAATGATTCATTTCATAATTTCGTTGATTATAACTACAAAAAAGCTCTGATTCTTATGTATTTTCCTTAAAGGAACTTTTAAAAGTTCAAATGTATTAAAACATACTCACAATCAAAAATTATTGGCCAGATGCTAGGTAATATTTGAGAGAATTCTTACCTCTTTAGCTGATTCTGATTTGAGTTCTTCTGGGTCCAATACATCTATCTTGAGTTTCTCAAAATGTTCCCGGAATTCAGAGTAGATTTGATCATCCACTTTGGTGAGTTTCAGGAACTGTGGGTCAACTGATGAAATCAGCTGCCAGAGCATAAAACAACATATAGATGTTTGTCTCTGATTTTCTACACTTCTACCCCTCATTCCCGTTCACCAGAAACCCTACAGCTCTCAAGGAAGATTTCATTAGGAAGTATTAAGAGCTTGTGCCTTGCATGAAATAATGATAAGTTTTAAAGGGCTACAATATATTGCAGTCCCTTCCAGCCATTTGGCAATTGGACCATTTGGTCCTAGTACTGCTGAGCTATTGCTCTCAATGGATTGTTCATTCATTCAACAAACATTTGTCAAGTGTCAACTATTTATAAGCTAGGTACTCTTTTGCCAGGTAGCAACAAAACAAAACACTGGGCAGGAAAGCACAACTCTTCATTGTCAAAACAAATTCACTTCTACCCCCTGAGCTCTACAGATAAGATTTATACTAATTAAAACTACCTCCCAAACAAAACTATTCAACCTTCTAACAACAGTGCTTAACAGAGCACCATGCACTGCAATTACATGTTTAATTCTGTTTAATGATGAAGACAAGACAACTAACCTTGTAATAGACTTCAGCATGCTGCATTGCTCTCATGGCCCAAGCCATCTCAACATCCGGCTGCAAAGGAGTGAAGAATGCCAGGTCAGTAATCTCCCAATCCTGCTATTGGGTAACAAACTAAGAAGCCTGTGGATGTCTGGTTAATGTTCAAAAGGGCTATCAACACTGGTGTTACCTTCAAAGAATAAAAACTGGACTAACAGATTTGGATAATACGCTAATTCTTTTTTTTTTCTTGTGACAATCAAAAGAACATATTTACATAGTATAATACACAAAATGTGCCACTGGCTATCTTTTCCCAGCAACTAGTCAAAGTGTGGGACACTACATAAGGCCGTAGATACATTGGCTTCTCAGGACTAAGTTAAATCGCTGTAATAGTGAAGCAATACATCCACGTACACCACTGAGTTGTTGGGAGGACAAAGATAATGAACTTGAAACTACTTTTCACTTTTGCGTGTAACATGTCACAATTACCATCTGTGTTTATTATATATTCAACTCCCTGTCCTGTAACACCTAGAAATGAATTAGTCTCACGAAGCAGGCCCTGTTATAAATAAGTCCTACCAAGAACCCCTCACTTGTTCCACTGGAATCTCTCACTACAAATACATGGATCTATTTCACAAACTCCAGAAAAAGCTATTTGAATTTTTACCTCCATGCCTAGACCATGCACGAACTTCTCCTACCTGCCAATCCATGTCCTTTGTCCACTTAACACTTTGAGGATCTAGTTCAACCTCCACTTCCTCAGTAAAGTCTTCTACTAGCTCCATCCTTAGAGGATCCTATGCCCTGACCACTAATCAAGTACGCATTACATTCTTATTTTGTTGTTGCTACTATTCTCATCATCCTTTTGTTTCTCAAAATACATCATATTCTTTCTCCATAAAGGGCTAAACCAGGGACACTAAAACCTGCTAAACTGAAAGCTGCACAACGGAATCACCCGGGGACCTTTAAAAAAATACTGATTCTCGACTCCCATCTTTCAGACATTCTGATTTCGCTGACATAAACTGTAATCCGAACATGGGGGTGTTTAAAAGCTTCCCAGGTGATTCTAAAGTGTAGTAAAGTTAGGGAACCATTTCCGTTTTCACACAGATTAGTCCCGTGTTTCAGAACCATGATTAGTATGAACTGAAAGAAGGTGAAGATTTTGGCGGACGTGCAGAGTATCGGCACAAGGAATCATGGAAGGGGCGTATAATTTAATGGCTTTATGGATGGGAGCTGTGAGTCAGTCATACTCACGTCGTTGCCAAAAGACTCTGCTGGGAGAGAAAGAGCCTGTGCCACCGACACCACCTCCGCGGAAACCTGAGAAGAGGAAAAACACGGGGACGGGGTGAAAATTCAAGGCTCTAATCGGCTCCACTTTTCTGCACGCCCAACCCCGGAGCAGCGCCTCACCGGTTCTTCCATTCCACTGGTACCGTCCATGCTGCAGCCAGGGAAGTGCGGCTACACCTTCCCGGAAGTTATTGTTTCGCGCGGTTCATATTGGAAAACCGACAGGACAGGAGGAGTCGTGTTCGTCCATCTGCGCCTGCGCGAGCCGTCTTTGCCCCGGAGGTAGTCACTGGTCCCGCCTCACCCTCCCAGCGCAGGCGTAGAGGTGGTATGCTGTTGCGCAATCTGAGCTGAGAGGACACTGAGGTGGTGGACTGCTCAGTAAATTTCCGTGGCGATTATGGGAAAAACCTGAATTAAAACAGTGCGGCTTTTGTACCCCCACACAGTGTGCTTTGTGGCCAGCAGACACTCAAGTTCAAACTCTGCATTCGTTCATATTTACACATGCGCGCGCACCCACACACACTGCGATACCCCCAAAAGTGGAGAGTAAATCGCAAGCAGGCACAGTGCTGGGGAGCGCAGTGCAGAGATGTACAATATAATCCCTGCTTTGAAAGAATTAGATTCAGTGAGGGATCAGATAAATGGCGATCACAGCATAGCATTTTACACTGGAGTATGAATGGGGGCGAAAAACAACAGCATATGCACCGTGTGGTGAATTAAGAATTAAGTATTCATGAATTAAAAATCGTGGCACCTTGCTGGGAATTGTAAAAATGGGGTAACTGAAGCAAGAGTGCACTCAAGGCTCTTAAATGGTGGCTATTAAGGGTTGAGCTTTTAAAAGCTGCAGTAAGCCACTGAAGGCCTTTAAGTGGGACCACCTCATTTGCAGGCCAAAATGTTAAGACCATTTCTAACAGGATGTGGAAGATTAATCGGAGGAAAACAAAATTGGAGGCAGGCCAACTTGATGGAAGGTGATAAAAATTAAGGCCTTAACAGATGAAAGGAATTTTGAGAATAAGGCTTAGAATAATTAAGCCTTTTGACTAATTGGCTGTGGATCTGAATGTGAATGGATCACCACATGGGTACTGAAGGTTGGTGAAGGCAGAGGCCTGGCCAGGTCATTACACAGGGTAACATGAAGGAATAGACTCAAGCTGGTGGCCAAATAGGTGCACATAACAAGTAAACATGAACGTGTTAAAGAGACTCAACTGTCCTTTTACCTGAGGACACAGGAAATTTGCTAAACTGGGTAATTTGCTTAAGGTTTTAGGCAGATTTGCTGACTTTACATTTTAAAAAATCCAATTATAGTGTATATGGTGCATGTATGGGATTTTTTTAATTTTTAAAATAAGCTTATTACTCACTACTTAATACTCTCAGACTTAGATATTTACAGAAGCCAGGAATTGGGTCCTCCTAATATGGGATAAATTATCTACTTCTGACGCCAAAACTACAAGAGCCAAAATTGTCTCCTAGAGTTTTTTCACTGCTAGGCAAGGAAACTAGCCCAGGCAGAGTTATTAGGATAATTGCTTTCCTTTGCATTCACATCTATTGTTTCAGAAGGACTCATGGTAACTGACAGAAATAAGGCCAAAAGCTGGGTGTGGTAGTGCATGCCTGTAGTCTCAGCTAGTACGGAGGTTGAGGCAGGAGGACTGCATGGGTCCATGAGCTCAAGTCCAGCCTGGGCAACATGGCGAGAGTCTGTTTCTAAATTCATACATACATACACACATACATACATACCTACATACATATGAACATATGTAAAATAAGGGAGAGGGGAATGGCCTGCCAACAAAAGGCAGTATACAAAAGGAGAGGGTTAGTGAACTTTGAGAACTACATCGAGGAAAGACCTTTCAGTGGAGTAAGAAAACTGGAGATGAAAATCCACTGGAATTATTTTCTTTTTCAGGGGAGCACCAATGAGTTGTCCTTCAGTCTCTGGGTAGAACCAATAGGCACCTTTAGTTCTAATTAAGGTGCTATTGGGCCAGGGATCCCAGGAGTGTGAAGGAGGTGGGAGCTATCATTGGTGGGAGATAAAGTAGAGCAAAACAGAGAGTTCTCACAGATAGAGGAAAACAGAGAGTTGCCTACCAGTGGCAAGGCAGTTGGATGAGTGCTGCTATTTGCAGGTAGTGAAACCATATGTATATATACACTCCCTTCAAATATGGATCACTTGGTCTTCGTGGCCTTCAGATTATATGGAAAGGGCAAACTTGATAGATCTTGAAATTGCTCACTAAAATAGGGCAGTGACGGAGCCCGCCGTCACTTGTCGAACAGTACCTGAATGGGGGAGTGAGGATGAAGAAAAATAAAGACAAAGAGATAGAGTCGGGAGAGCTCCCAGAGACCGAACGCCCAAGTTTATTTTTCTCCTCTCTTTTATACGACAGGTGAGTTTCGTTGTTACTCATGACCCTTATCCAGAGACACCTGCTTCCTTGTTGTCTAGTTCTTTGGGAATTCCCCACCCTCATGGGCTTCCTTGTTTCTCGGGGTTACAGAACGTTCATCACGTTCCAGGGCAATCTAATTCGGCAAGGACGCGGTTCCTCATAACATAGTCTCCTTGCTCTATACAATGGAGGGTAAGATTCAAAATGGAGCCTCTTTGGCTAACACCGCTCTCCACAGGGCAGAAAAGCAGTGCTCTCCCATAGGTCTACTATGGAAATATAAAATCTGGTTAATAAAAGTGTTGCTATGAAGGTGTGTTAGTTTTCGTCACTGTGACAAAATACTTGTAAATAAGAATTTGAAGGATGAAAGGTTAATTTTGACACTTGGTTTCAGAGGTTTCAGTCCATGGTCAGGTGGCTTTATTATAATCTCTTAGGTCTGTGCCAAGGCAGAGACTTGAAAGAAGGTCACGGTGGAGAAAAGCTGTTCACTTTATGGCAGCCAGGAAGGGGAGGGGGGAGAGGTGAGAGGAGGGGATAGGACAGGAGAAGAGAGAGGGAAAGGGTGAGAGAGAGCAAGAGAGTAAGTCGGGAATAATATACACCCTTCCAGGGCATGTCTCCAGTGACCTACTGCCTCCAACTCAGCCCTATCTCCTACTTTCCATCACCTCCCCAAAATGCCATTAAATATGAGTCTGTTGTTGGATTAATCTACTGATGAGGATAGCACCCTCATGATCCAATCACCTACTCAGAAGCCCATCAGCTGAGAAACATTCTTTTAGTACATGGCATTTAGGGGCCACCTTAGATACACACCCAAACAGGTGTGGTTCATACTATGTACAGGAGATGAATGGTGTCATCTTATAAGGCTGGTTAAGGTGAAAGCAGGAGGTTAGAATAGAAATCTTCAGTGCTCATGTTCACAGGGTATGCTGTATGGTAGGTAAGGAACACAACAGTGACATCAGGCTGCCCTCACAGATTGGGTCTTCTACCAGACACCTGTTAGTAACGTAGCCTCAACATACAGACAGCAAAAATTGACAAAAGAATTACAAGCTGCCAGGCTGGTGCTGCCAGGCTGGCCATGAACTCCAGCTATGTCTCTTATATCTTGTGAACAAATGACCTTCTCAGTAAGAAAAACTCAAGAAACCTCACCCAATATCCATAATACCAACTGGTGATAAACCTCAAACTTGAATTCAAGTCCTAATTTCACTATTAATCTTTTTTGAACAGGGTCTCACTTTTTCGGAATATTGAATGGGAGCAAAAATACCTAATTTGTAGAGTTATTCTAAAATCAATGATCTGAACCTAGAAGAGCGGCTCAATATGTGCAAGGTAAGTGCTATGGATTGAAAGTTTTCATCCTCCCTCTCCAAATTCATGATACTTAATCACAAGTACAGCAGTATTTTGAAGTGTGGCCTTTGAAAGGTGACTGAGGCAGAGGCCTCATGAATGGGATTCACTGTCTTTATAAAAGGATGTCACAGAAGGAGTTACCTCTTTTCACCCCTTTCATCATGTGAAAGATGGAATTTCTTATCTGAAGGATGCAACGAGGCTCCATCTTGGAAGCAGAGATAGGCCCTCATTAGTTGGGCCCATTTTCTTGGGCTTCCCAACCTCCAAAAGTATGAGAAATAAATTTCTGTTGCTTATAAATTACCAAAACTGAGATATTTTGTTATTGCGGCACAAATGGACTAAGATACTATGCTTTTATTTCTTACTATTAAGTAGACGTACAGAGAAACTACAGGCTGCTCTCTGGTGCCACATGCAAGACAAATGAAAATCAGAAGCCCTGCATGACCTTTGAACATTTTGCCAGGGACCATAAAATATTTCAGGTTCCTTGGCCAACAAAAAAATTGGCGACACATTTGAAAAAATCATTGTGTCACCAATGAATGGAACCTAAAGAATATACGGTGAGCCTCATCAACAGACTTCACATATACAATCTACTATCTCTAGGGAAACTGGGAACCAAATTTGGTCCTTCAGTCCTATGCGTAGTGACAAAGCATATAGGCTTGGAAGTATCAACACCACTTCTGGGTAGGTTTTGGGAGCTCAGAACTTCTAATGCTTTGAGAAACAGTCAAGAGAGGCTAGTGAGTCACAGTGGAAGGTTATTCCCAGAAGACTGGGTTTTCATGTTCAGCCTCTTTTACATCTCAATTCTGCTGTTCCCAGTGAGCCAGGGGTTGTGTAAAAATGAGTAGCAATATAACAGGTAGAATGGAACCCAAAAAGCACGTCTGAGATTGATAAGAGAAAGCTCCTATTGTAAGACTAGATGGAATTTCATCATCCTACCTTAGATATATTCTTATCTGAGTATAGAGACTGATTTATTTCACAAAGGATATTTTGGCTATTACAAAAACTTCCCTCTTGGTATTCCACCATCAACATGGCACCATTTCTTTACCTTTAATGGGGCTTGTATCCTATTTTCATTTATATTTTCTTTCGTGATTCAGCTCCACACTTACTGATTTAGACTTTTGGTGCTGGGGATCAAACCCAAGGCCGTGAACATGCTAGCCAAGCCCTCCAATACTGAGCTACACTCCCAGTTCCTCCTCTCGTTTCTTTTATTTATTTTTTTAATTAAATTCTTTTATTGGTACATTGTAGGTATACAACACAATTACATTTTTCATCGGGAATTGTACCTTTACATAATGCATCTTGGTTCTTATTTTTTCCCCATTCCTAGCCCTCCCTTCACCCCCTCCACCCTTCCCTATTTAC